ATAATCCTAAAATCCAATATGGCGCCTATTTAACTTTAGGAAGTTGGTAAAAGTCCTCAAAAGTAGCCATCTTGAATTTTTTTTACATCAATTCAAAATTAAGCGTATCAAAGAGAGTAACTTTTATATAAAACTTTTTTTATATCTCTTACACTTTCGATGATAAGTATTTAAACAATGCTAAGACATTCAAGGAAATGGCCAATTTTAGTATTTTTGAATTTACGTCGAACCTATTCGACATTTTAAATTTTCACAAGAAAATTTTAAATAAGCATCTAAAACCACAAAACATTGTCCATTTAACTAATTCTTTTTAATCATAAGAAAGTTACCCATGCAATCCCACGCGATCTAGGACACACTGTATATAGTAGCTATAATTGGAACGACTGTATAAACCCACCATTATTAAACGGCAGAGCAGAATAGCAGAGATGCAAGCATTTTATGGGTGACGGGTCCGTCTGTCTGTTTGTCTGACGTGTGTGAACACGATGACTGGCGTTGGCTTGGTTCAAACTTTACACAGTTGACCTATATGCCACATGTAGCATGTAAAATATTCTAGAACAAACAGTTGTAATCAGACGTATAGTTTTATGCCAGACACAATGATGTATAACTCTCGTCAGGAAAGATTGCCGGTCACAGCACACCTTGTGTCGATCTACGATCTATGTTTTTCTTAAGATGCGAGCGACTTCCGGAATAGGATCGTGACAATGTTGAACGAAAAGTCTTTTTGTTCAACATTGACACGATACTATCCCGGAAGTCGCTCACATCTTTAGAAAAACATAGATTGTAGACCGGGATCAAGTGTTCTGTGACCGGCAATCTTTCCTGGCGAGAGGTTTATAAGTATTTGTATACATCTAATTATCGATTACATTATGTACCATTTCAGGCAATCACATACTTTATACCTTTTTTATTTTGCTTTACGTATCTCGTTCATTTTAACATATCACACATACTTTCACCGCCACTAACATGTTGAACTCGGCATATAATTTTTGCACTCCATACTGTACTGTAACACACGTTACACAACAAACAGCTTACACGGGAGCTTGAATTAACTATAAACGAGATTTTTTCAGAATTTGTTCCATATATGTTTACTTACTTATATCATATACCTATATTATATACACTGCGTAAATTTTAAATCTGAATCTGAACATACGCTGAACTGTGGTGCTAAGGGTCCTTGGTTCGAATCCGGGTTCGAGCATGGATATTTGTAAATGTATAGTGGGTTGGGTTGGTACAGCAGCCTTGGCTAAAACCCTGCCCACTCAACAATTAAGGCAAAATAAATAAAATAATTAAATCTCCTGCATATAAAACTCCCATGTTCAATTTTTAAATATATCTACAAGTCAAATACCCCTTAAGACATGCAACCAAAGTTCTCATTTTCATCTTTTTAAAATGTTTTTCAATAAACGTCAATATCTGAATTATTTATTAAATTAAGATTATTAATTATATACATAATAAAATGTATACAAAGGAAGAAAAAATGGAAATGTTAACCAATGTTTTTCAATAACCACAGGATTTATTTGCTGCTAAAACCCGGATAAGCAATCCAACAGCAATAAATTGTGCAGATGAAGCGCATTTTTTAAAACCGAAATAGCTTAGCAAATGGTTGGGTTATATCGGGTGATCAAAAAGAACTGCAGACAATTGGGCACTTTAAGTTTTTAACGTTTTTTACTTAAGGAATTGGCAAACATGTTTAGAAGGCAGTTTATTTATGTATTAGTGATTAAATTGATCCACCACGTTCAAAATCCTTCGACACTCCATTCTGCATATATTTGCACTGAAAGCTTTGACGTTCCACTTGCCTTCTATGAGTGCCCTCTTCCGACATTTCGTTCTCAAGGTATTTGCTTCGACTTCACCAATAGATATGTGTCGTCCAGCGTCCAGGCGATTCATTTTGCCTTTGAGAGTACTTTCCTCCGACAAACCGTTTTCGAGATATTCACTCTTAAAGTTTTGACACTCGTTTTGATATCACCAATTTTCTTCCAGATGTCCCAATCGCCCTTTGTGAGTAACGGCCCTTCCGACAATCCGTTGTGGAGATTAAGGGAATATATCCGATCACGATAAGAGATCGAGGAGTAGGACTATGATTGGTATAAATTAATTCCTTTCGTTGAGACCATTCAATTTTTTTTCTTTTTTTTTTATTGAGATTAATGTGTCTCAGCATATCAAAGGCCATTGACACAGATACAGTTGTGTATAAGTTTATAGGCTAATGGTAAAGTACATTATATTTAAGCCGGCGCTACACGATGCTATGAATGACGATACGAACGTTTGATCGAACGTTCTATCAAACGAGTTCGGCAGTTCATGTGGCACACATGTTCTGCTACACAGTCGTGGCGATTGTTTGATCCCAACGTTTAGAAAAACATTTCTCTGTTCGCGCCAACTCACTTCATTTACAGAAGGATTATTATTTGAATTGCTACGAATCGTGTAGCTGGGTATCAAAGCAACGACTGATTTTGTTCAAACGTTCGACACATCCCTTTGACTTGAGGTAATTTTACCGACACCGGACGGAACGTCTTCAAACACGAACGTTTGCCGCTCGACATTGGAAGTAGTAGCGGACACATGATGCGTCAAACTGTCAAACGTTCAGCGTTGGAAGGTGTTCGTAGCATCGTGTAGCGCCGGCTTTATGTTTGAGAGAGTAGAGCTATATCTAAACAGCTGAAGCAAGGGTTCATATTTTGGAGCTGTAATTGATGTTATTTAGATATCTGAGAACTTTGTTTATCTGATTCGGTGAGTTGAGGGCTTAATGCAGGGTGTTTGAGAGACAAAGCTGACTTCTTGTGTGTGAGTGAAGCTGACATTCGATTAGAAGGTGTTTGACGGATAATGCGCTGTTGCAGTGATGACATATAGGTGGAGGTTCTGAATTGATCAAGTGTCTGTGTGTGAGATTTGTGTGTCCAATTCGAAGTCTTCGAATGATTATTTTATCTCTTCTTGTTAATGGAGGGAGGTGAAAAGGCTTGACAGATTTCCGTATCTCGTATAGCTAGACGGGATTCTGGACCAGTGTTCTTGCCATGTTAGGTGGATCTTATCCTTGAAGAAGTTTTTCAGATCTTTGTATAATTGGATTCCTTCGGTAGGGAGGTTTGCTATTGATGCTTCTTTTGCTGCACAATCTGCTAGTTCGTTCCCAGTAATGCCGACGTGGGAGGGAACCCATAGTAGGGTTACATTTACTCCTACAGAGAGCTGCTGGCAGCGTTCGTGTATAGACTGGACTAGGGGATGTGAACTGTAGATGTTTTGAATGGATTTGATTGAGGCGGAGGAATCAGTACATATTGCAACTGTTTTGGAGTCCTGAGTTAAAGAGTTGCACGCTTGGAGTATAGCAAATAACTCTCCAGGATGAATACTGCAAAAGGCAGAGAGGGCGTTTGAGGAAACAGTTGTATGGGAGAGAGAAACTGAGCATCCCACCGCATTGCTGTTTTTAGAGGAGTCAGTGTAAAGCACTTGATCGAATTTTGATTTATGCATAAAAAGTACCATATACAGGGTGATTCCTATAGTACCTGCCACCGTTTGGGAGCGTATAGGGGGTGCCTAGGGGAGTATTTTGATATAGGACACTTGGGGTCGGAAATCTAAAATAAGGGCGCCAGAACCAAATTTATCTTCTGGAATTTCACGCCTGTATGTAGGCAACCCAACCGACCGACGTTTCGCGCGGAGCGATGCAGAGCGAGTTAGCGCGAGGAAGCGACATGGGAGGGAAGGAGGGAAAACGACAGTCAAAAGCAATAACGTTTACAAGTGTTCAACGTGGCCACCGTTGTTCTCAATGCACTTCCTACATCTAGCCAACTATTATTATACTATTGCCATAGTGTTTATTCACTTGATACGCGTCGTTGCAGACGGGATTTCGTGGGTTTAAACAAAATTCTGATCAAGTGTCAGCCACACATCGCCGCCTGAGATCGCTCCGTGTGCACCGCCGGCCGGTTGGGTTGCCTACCTACAGGCGCGAAATTCCAGAAGGTAAATTTGGCTCTGGCACCCTTATTTTAGATTTCCGACCCCAAGTGTCCTATATCAAAATACTCCCCTACGCACCACCTACACGTTCCCAAACGGTGGCAGGTACTATAGGAATCACCCTGTAGATAGATATAGATAGAACCATAATGTATCACCCCCCCCCCTTCCTTTCCCCGCCCCGCTATCCAGTGATCTCGAAAAAGAGTCGCGCGGGAGTTATAGTTTGTACAAACAATTTATTTCGATGAGACCTCATTAGAATAACATGATGGGTATTACGTGTGACCCCCCCCCCCCACCCCATTTTCAAGAGTTTTACTTGGCACCACTAAAAGCATGCGTATGCGTATACAAAATCTGAGACCAATTGGTTGTTGTATGTAAAATGTACGCATCTTAGGAAATAATTCATGGGGAGGGGGGGGGCTTCCAGGAGTCTGGTCTATAAATAAATACCTAAATAAATTTTAATTCTTAAAAAAATGCGCTAAAAATGTCATATTGATAGTTGAATTGTTAATGAACGCGCCAGAAAAAGAACTTGCTGTGTTTTAATTGTAGAAATAAAGTTAAATATTTTAGTGTACCTACGTAGAAGAAAATCCAATTACTTATTTACATCAATGTTTGTGATTTACCAAATGAGTAACGTTCCAGTAACTGAAAAACGCTATAAAACCACTTTAAAGACAGTTCCACATCAAATCGGCCGAATACGTATATAAAATAACTAGGTACTTAGTTTCTTTTGTTTACACTGCTGTCAAATGTGTGTGTAAGGTGGGTTGCATAAGTATCAGGCATATCAATTCATTGACTATAATACCAGAGAGTTAAAATTTACGCACTGTGTCTCAATAACATTGATTGATTTACATTCATCATTATTAACTGAGAAACAACTTTTTTAGGGTGCCTTTTCACCTAACAGAATGCTGGCGTTAGTAGAGGTGCAATTTATTAATTTTACACAGTGTTCAAAGATGTACGCATTGGATGACATAGAGCTTACACCCGGTATGTTATGTGCAGGAACGTTTACAGGGGGGAAAGATGCCTGTCAGGTAAGTGTGCATTGAACATGAACCAAAGAAGATTTAACTAAGGGAATTATAGGGGGACTCTGGAGGCCCATTGGCCTATAAAGGCATGCTAGCCGGAGTGGTTTCAACAGGTAGCGGTTGTGCAGATCCCAAATTTCCTGGCGTGTATTCTGATATAGTTTACTTTACTAATTGGATTCAAAAAACCATGAGTCAAATGGAGCCGACGACCATGTATATCGCCACCACGACATCGAAACTTATCGCAACAGATACTACTCTGAATTTAATAAATACAACTACAACCTTATCCTTGTATCCTACTAACGCATCTAATACTTCAACTGAAACGCATTTCACTGAACAAAGTCGCAGTACCACCGACTCTTTACTTGTAACTACGCACTCGGTTGCAAGTATGTTACTGAAAAGAAATACCAGTCGAATTCTAATTGTTTATATAGCCTTGTATGGATTTATATGTCTTAATGTGTATTTATAAATGCAAAACAGCTCTCCTTTGTGATATATTGTCCAATGCCCTTCGTCAGAGGTTACTGTTTTTGTACTGCGAAATGAGTGCTTTTAAATTATTTCAATAAAAACATGTTCCTTCCAACTTCAGTTACTTCAACTTCTTCCCAAACTCTGCTAAAATGAAAGCAACTGTAATATTCGTGCAGTGTGTAAACACATACAATGCGATCAAAAATTAGTTGCTGTCGAGTTACCTTTGGAATTTTTGTTTACATGGGAAATCGTACTTAACTTGAATTTCCAAAGGCGACTCGACAGCAACTCATTTTTGATCGCCCGTTACTACCTATGGTTTAAAGAATTATGCATTGTGTCGGATTGGCAGTTAGCTATGGTTTATTTAATTTTAGGCGAGGGCTTTGAATGGCGAGGGTTAGTATTTTTGGATTCCAAGCACTGTAAAACTAGTTTGCTCAATTAGGGAACTTTCATACCTACACCCAATATTTGGTAGAATTATGTGTTGTCTTTTATCTCTCATCAAAAGGAAGGCGTTCTAGGACATCTGAGCGCGCTGTCATCTGTACGTCATTATAACTGGGCGCGGAAACACCTAAGCCCTATAGTGACTGAGAACATATTTATATTATTTGTCATAATATTATTTAGTTGAGAATTCCTTACAATAAAATGTTTAGTCGACCACAATTGGTGCTTAAAAAAGCAATTATATCTGCCTCTTTACTTGAGCTTGAACATTGACGGTTTCTGAAAATATTAGTTCAATGACCTGATGGACAGTTAACTAAAACTGCACAAAAAACATAACTATAGACCTTGACATGTTCTTGTCGCAAAAAATGCATGCAATTTGTTTCTTGTGCATCGAGGTGATACGTTCCGACATTCCTCCCGCAAAATCATTTGTTAAAGAACGCTTCTGACATCTTTTGGGCAAATTTACGAAATGTACTCCTTTGGACATCAAGATAATGGGGTTGAAAGTATTGAAAGACCGAAGTGCGAAGTCTGGATTTGGAGAATGGAGAGCGCTGTGTGTCGGAGTGCCGCCACCGATCCACCTTGTTGTACACAAACTCAATCCCATTGCTTAGATCAACGTAATAGATCAAATTGGAGAATCTTTCGTGGAAGAATCCTGAATCGATACAGGATGCGGAATCACCTAATAGAGTCTGCAGTTACAAGTACATTAATGATGAACGTGGTAAAATATTCTCTTTACCTTCTTTAACGGAAGCGCCAGGAAGACCTGGATTCGTAAAACAATGCGTTTATGAATAATACTACAGATTTAAAAATAAAATTTGTGATTATACCTATTATACCAGAAATGTTCAACTCGAAATAAAATTTTAATGGTCATTTGTTAATACTCGTATTAGGTTGTCCAAATTCTCTAATAGTCTACTGTTTTACATAGGGGAATACGTAGGGAGGTTCGACATTTATGGAATTTGTTTCATTAGGGAATTTTGTTATTAACAAACGATAAAAAAAATTTGAGCGCAAAATATTGATATTTACGTTCGTTGAAAGCATTTCAAAATCAAGGGTCGGAACGAAGGAAGAAAACGTATCTGTACGCGAGACTGGACTGCGTGACGTCAGTAGCCAGAACATTTGCCGTGTAGGCAAAGTATATATATATATACGAATTCACGTAACCTGGAACCAATTTATTTATTGTGTGGCCAATGCTGCAAGGTTATCAAAAATCGAAATTTACCCCATGCTAATGTGGAAATGGAGTTGTTGGCTAATAACGTAAATTTAAATCAACCTCTCAGAGCAGCGATACCTATGCATCTGCAAAAACTCCATTTCCACATTCGCATGGGGTACATTTCGCGAATCAGTTTTTTTTACAACCTGGCCGCATTGTGCATACACTAAATAAGTGGGTTTCAGTTCACGTGAATTCTTATACTCTGCCAGTACGGTGCGGCGGAAAATATATCTGGCTACTGACGTCACGTCGTCTAGTCTCGTCCACAGGTACGTTTTTTTTACTTCGCCCCGACCCTTGACTTTAAAGTGCTTACAGTGGACGTACGTATCAATATTTTGCACCCAAATTTGTTTTTATCGTTTTTTAATAACAAAGTCTCTCGATTTCAGTTAAAATAAAAAAATGTCGAACCTGCCTATTGTACTATATTCTAACTATCATCTAAAAAGAATATCCCAGTATTAAAGGCTTACAATGACGTCAAACGTACCATTTTACATTGCATTGATGGTGTCATGTAGGTAATGCCAAGGAGAAAAAGTGTACAGACTACATGTACTTGTACCATACGTGGTGTGTCGCGTAGCGTAGTGTAACCGGCTGGTTACTTTTCAACTCTCCTTACCGTCTCTTCCGTAAACTATTTTATTTGGGCTCGGTTCTTCTTATATGAAATAATTGTTGGGCGCCGGCTAGCTTCAGTTGATAATCCTTTTCTGGCCTCGAGGGAATGGGAAAGGATAAATGAATAAAAAATCAATAGTTCTTTATTAAAAACCTATTATGTTCTTTTTCTCTTAGAAAATCGCCTTTTTGCTGTAAATAATACACGTCAAAAGAAATGGGGGTTGAGGCGGTACACTCCTATAAAATTGGGATTAGCACTCATTCATCCACAAAAAGTCACTGCAAAGAAAGGAAAATCTACGCGAATTAAAATCAAAGTATAATTTGCGGGCGCGACTGTCACAGAGGTTGCTCCGTGAAAAGGCAATGAGCAACTCTCTTTTGCTGCTTGAAATCCCCGTATTTATACTCTCGGAGTTTGTATCCTGTGACCTTGTAACAGTTTAGTTCATTCATATTCAAATTTCAAAATTACCGCTTCCTAGGTTAGGTAGGATATCTGTGAGATGGCGTCACTTGTACGCGTGTTTCTTTCCTCATCGCGTTATTTTTTTCACTTCATTTCCGTTTTAAAGCCAACGAGGTTGTACTTGTTGTAGAGCGTGGCATTGTGAATCCTTCTTAAACCAGTGGGTAATATTTGCCATCATTCCGTGAAATCTCTGGCAATTTTACCTTTTTTTTTTCATTGGCGTTGTCGAGTAGTGTAACTCAGAAGCCGTTTTCTCCATTGCGAGGCTATATATCTGGTTGAAGTTCATCGCCCTACCTACATGTAAGTGAAATGGCGTTGGTTTTCTTTTACGTTATGTTATCTAAAATTCTTTCAGATTCACAATTTGAGGTTGGATAATTTCCATATTTCATTGATTTAAGTATTTTTCATTACCCTCCTGACGATTTCAGGTATGTTATTAAAAATCTCGTTAAGGGAGTGTTACATCTTCATTACTTTTAGGGGGTCCATGTAGTATATGAATTCTTGTACCGGTCAATCCATGTAGTAGATGAATTCTTGTACCGGTCAATCCTTGTACAGACGAATCCTTGTATGGTATAGTTGATAGTATATCCTTGCACATTCTTGTGTGCGGAGGACATTGACCTGGCATAATTTTGGGATAGTAAATGAATTTGCATCTTGCGAATATTCCGGAGTACGAACACCTGTTGATTGCCGGCAGCTATCCGGCGTACCACCGAGTAGATAAGCGCTGACACCTAAACGATACCGGGAGCGACCAGCTGATTGTGGAATTTTCGGAAGATACGATCTTTTACACAACCTTTTTTTATTTGCTTCAATACCGTTAATCTAGTGTAACCTTCCGACGATTTATGATTGGAGCTTTGTATTTTGTTCGCATCTAGTGTTTGAGGTCGTGGCTCTCTTCAAGAGCAACGCACCTGTATTTAACGTATGGGTAAACGAGCCGGCTACGAGTAAGCTATTTTTGGCCCTTCCGGCTCATATAATCGTTCCGAGCGTTGTAGCTTGGGGTTTGTTTTTTTGTGTTACAGAACTGGAACTTCGAAGGAGAGCTCTTTTTCGGAGAAGACAGCGTATGTGTTATTCAAGGTAAGATTTTTAATTTACTTGTACCCAGTGTTGCCTATATGAGTTGTTATTCGGGTTAACTTAATTCAATCTTTGAATCCATTGAAATCTTAACTACATTTTTGCTCGATCATTGTTGTAGGGGTCTGGTAACGTAATTATTAGGGAAGTGTTCATGAATTTATTTGGGGATTATTTTTGTCATTTAAAGTATTTGTTATTGTCGTATTGAAGATACATTTTATTTGCCGATCCTGCACCGTTTTGCCAGGATTAATAAATCAGAATTGCTCGTAGTGAATTTATTATTTGGCTCTCTTGTGTTTTCCCAATTTTCTATACAGGAGAGGTCAGAATTTGTGCAAAATTGGGTGGCGCTCAACTAATCATTTCTAGTAACTACCAAAGATCAAAAACTTATGTTATATGCCCAAACGAACAAACCGCTGTGGAAGATTCTCATCTCGAGCCCTTCTTTTAATTAAGAATCTGAGCTAGCTGGCCGTTTATGCGGCGGGGTTTGAGTTTTACAGCGCCGAACTAACCTCACGTTATAACCTCAATTCGCTTTATCGCGCAAACTCGCACATGCATACGTCCGTGAATTAAGAGGCTTCTATACCAGCGCAAAAACCCTATTTAAAAGTGTTTCGCGCCGTGCCTGTTTATTCTTAAAGGAAATGTAATATTGCTAAAATTCAGTGATTATGATGTTTATAAAGGTGAGATCTAGGATTGTATCTAATTGTTTTTTAAATAGTAACTTTAAATCATACGATACAGAGCGATAAAGAATTGCTATTTTAGACAATATTCAAGGAGTCGTAGATCTTAAACAACAAAAATAGTAGCAAAACAAATTCGATACAATCCTAGCTTTAACCTTCCTATGGTAAAATCCATTCACAGCAATCAATAAAAGTTTATTATATACCAGTAAACAGACACGGCCCGGGACCCCACTGCAAAATTCTATTAAAATTTTATTAGGAAAGTGCTGCCACGTCTTGCGGAATTCAAACTTAAGTTACGTATTTACCGCCCATTTGATAAAAGGAGGAGTTCATTCTTATCTTTCCAACATAATTTTAAATCCACCG